CGGCGGGCGCCTGACCTCGCGCCGCGGGGACGCGGGGGTGGCCCTGAGAAGGAGGGGCGGCCCCGAGCCGGCGGAGGAGGAGGCTCCGCCCCGCGCCACTATAAATGCGCGGCTTGGCCCACAGCAGCCGCGGCGCCGGCGGAGGCTCAAGGGCACCGACACGGCTCGGAACGCCTGTGGAGCCCCCCCACCTGCTTCCATAAGGCTTTGCCTTTCCAACTTCAGCTACAGTGATAGCTAAGTTTGGAAAGAAGATCAGAAGAAGACCCCTGGTCCGTTTTTCTTTTGTTATATGTCATAGTCGTCATTGGGGTCTTTTTGCACAAGGCTGTTGTGTTTTTAGCGGTGCTCTCTCCAGTTCCTTGCACTCCTGTTAACAAGCACCTCAGCAAGAGCAGCAGCAGTAGCAGCAGAAGAGCAAGTGGGGGGCGCCTGGTGTCATGACCAGGAAAAGAGAGCAAAACCGCCAGAGAGGATGCTGTGGTGAGTTGACCAAATCCAAGTGGTGGAAACAGGTTGGGCGGTGGAGACCAACGGCTTCACGCAGGTTTTGGAGGAATGAGGTTCATCTGCTAACCAGAGTGCTTTGTAGCTCGTTTGAATCATATTTTGGTGGGGGTTGAGGAAGAAATGAATTTCAAGGTGTGGGAAAAGGGGCTTGCGTGCAGGCAAGGATGGAGTAGACTCGGCAGTTTGGATTGCTTTGTTAAAAAAATGGAGTTAAATGTCGAAATGAACTTTCTTCATTGTATGTGAAGTTATGCAGTTATTGGCCAATAAACAGGCCATGCTAAATTTAAGTGTTGACTTGATAAAATGTACATGGTTTGTCCCACAAAGTTTTGAATAGTCATGTTTAACAAGAGCAAACGTCTATACATTCCATCCTCAGCTCACTCAAGTGACTCGAAATATGCTTTTTATCTTCCGCCTCTGTGTCTTTGCAGGATCCTTAGCAAACTACCTGACCTCTGCAAAATTCCTTCTCTACCTTGGTCATTCTTTATCTACTTGGGTAAGTGAGAGTGTAAAGTAATTCTTACAACACACTTGCACAATTTCTCGTTTCCTTTCCTTCGGGCCAGTTGTTTTAAGCCACCCTCCATTTTTCTTTTTTTCCACGCAGCTAACATAATAAATTATCCAAATACACATGCTTTAACGAAAAAAATTATTTTTGCCAAAGGTGGTTTCTTATAGGTCTTAGGAAGTGCCATTTAATCATCCATCAGAGTATAACACTTTATGTAGATTGACAACTATCCGAAGACAGGATTAACTGGAATGGGAATGCTTGTGTTTATAAATTGTATTTTTCATTTGTAGGCTTAGTAAATGGTGATATCTGCTACTAAGAATGGATGGATGTCTCATATACCTTCTATTCTTTCACATTTTAAGATAGTCCTCTAATTCTTTTTTTTTCGTTAAATTTATAAGTTCCAGCATACCGAACTATGAAAATACAGTGGAATAGTGGAGTCAATGACTTAGGCTAAAAATAGCATTCTAAGATTAATTTAAATATAATTGATCCCAAGAACAAATATCTGAGTGATGAAAATTCTGTTCTTTAAAAATGTTTTCTGTAGATAAATATGTGTGGGGCATCTCAGGCTATCTCAGAACTGTCATCCAGTGAAAATCAACTGATTTGTAATTCTTCCTTTGATTTGCTACGTGGTCTTAGAAGAGTTCCACTATTTTTGTAGGCCTGGGTTCTTTCATCAACCACCGCCCCCAAAAGAATAATCCCAAAAGGATATTGGATGTGCATTTAGTTAATAATGATTAGAATCTTTAAAATTAAACAGTTCTTGTTGTTTAAAAGCAATAAGTCTGAATATATTCTATTCAGGCTTCATATATGATATTTAATTAAAAAGAACCATGTGGTAAGGAGAAGAAATTTGGAGGGTAAATTTTGTAAATGTTGTTTTCTTTTTAAAATGGAAACATTCATTGGATCATCCTTCATACATGAATGTATAGTATTGTATGAGGAAATCCATACCCTGTCCCCTTGGGAAATTATTAAGCTAAGTTATTGGCTCTTTAAGAAATGGCAGTTTGGAAATGGCCTTTTCCCCAGAGGCTTAGATAGGGATGAGCAAATACACAAAAACAGAGTGGAACTGTTGTGGGTTTCATTTCCAATAGCCGAGGATTCTAACTAGAAACCTAGTGAAACTGTCCTTAATAATTTAAACCAATAGTTGGTTTTTCCAGTTTAATTCAGTAAATATTAAGTATAGGAAAAAACGATAACAAGTGATGGAGATAGGATATGAAATTCTTATCTTGTGGTCTGACCTATATATTAGGGGAACAATGTGTCTCACTTCCAAATACTGATAACTGTAGGGTTTATGTAACCTTCCTTTAATAGGTAGGGAGGTCAGATTTGCTAAAAGAGTGGAACTGTCTTGTTCCAGAAGGATTTTTTTGTCATGCTAATACAAATCTCACAAGAAAAGTGACAGACGCTTACCAGAATCTTACAGTAAATTGAACAAAGGGAGTTCTTGTGGAAAAGTTGGATTAAAAAAAATAGCAACTTCAACCATTTAAGGTTTAGAGGATTTTTCTTCTTTTCAATGCAAAGGAATGTAAAAGAGTAATGCTCTCTAAATAATTCTACCTTTGAGTTTTGTTTCCTACTTGACATTTTGCCCTATTTTATTACAACAAAATATGTGTGCTTATGTATACATCTATTTCCTCTATTCCCCTGCCAACTCTTCCAAACCATGGTTCCCTATATATTGAATGTAGAAGTATGAGAGTAGAAAACTATATGAGATTAGGTTTGTGTAGGGTTGAATGTTTATTTCCAACGTCATTTCTATCTACCAGTGGATCAGTACATTGTACAGTACTGGAAGAAGTGGATTCTGTTATCAAGGAGCTTATAATACAGTTTAGTATGGGATTTAAAAATATATAATAACAAAAAGATAACTAATAGTGTAGGGCAGTGAAAAAAGGTGGCCAGTTGCTTATATCTTAGTCATTATCCTTTGGACTGTCTCCATTTATACCCCAGATGTCTGCATTGCTGCAGCCCTTATTTCCTCCAGTTCCATGCTCACAGAGGTCTCTGTTACTACTTCATGCAAAATGCCAACTTCCAGCCCCACCCTATTTTAATTTTACACCATTTGACCTATTCCAGATTTGTTTTTGGTCTGTGCTCACTGGGATGCAAGCTGCATGAAAGCGTGGACCTTGATTTTTATGCACTACCGAATTTCTAGTGTCTGCATAGTAGCCTCTCAATAAATATTACGTGAATTAATGACTGATTATTCATTCACAGATGTTCAGTTGATCTTCAGCTCTCACACTGGGTGTAGATGGACATGTAAGCAAATGATCAAAGTATGCTGAGAGCTTGTGGGAGGGCAGGGAATGGACAAAAAGAAGGAACAGGTGGGCTTGAGATTGCACCTGGTCAACACTTACTTAGAGTTTACCCAATTCTTGAGCTTTATGAGCTTAGACTCTGTTGCTTCTTAAAACCTAAAACCTTTGAAAATTGGGGTAACTAGAGCAGTTTTATTCCTATTCATCAAAGAGGTAGCATGCTCTACAGGGATAACCAAGAGAGAAAACTTTCATTTAATAACATTTGTTTTGATGGCCTGCTCTAGAGGAATCTAAGACAAATTCTTTTGGAAAAAAGATAGGAAAAAAAAAAAAAGAAAGAAGCAATATTAGTAGAAATAATATTTCTTACTCTTTAAGTTAAGAAGGAGAAAATGCACTCATAGAGGCAAGATATCATTTGGAACATTTATGTGTCTTTATCTTTTCCTTGGGAGCTATTCAGAATAATGGAGATTAGGATAAAGTACCTCCTTTTCCCCCATCCCATTTTGTTCTAATCCAATCTAAATTTGCTTTTCATGTTAAAAATTAAGAAAACAGTTTAATTTGCTATTCTTATTGACATCCTTATCTTAATATATAGACTGGTCTTTTTATTGGTTTCAAACAAATTGCATATTTATCATATATTTTTAATCATTTAGTACAATTGTATTTGAAACACTAACAATTCCCATTCAAGTGGAAAAATTTTTTATTATCAAAGCAAACTTAAAAAATTTCTCTCTCAGAAATATTTATCATGGTAATGATTCTCAAATTTCTTGAACAGTCAGAACAAATCTAATGTACTAAAACAATATAGTTGGTAAATCAGTAGGTTATTGCCACTTTGTCTATGTTTACTCATTCACACCTGGGCTCCACTATATATCCACTCCTTTGTTGATTTCACAGTTTCTTGTTGTGCATCTACTCCAGGCCATGCACTGTGCTGAAGGTGGAGAGTGCAGAAGGCTCTAGAGCTCACATTTCAGACCATCAAATGAGTTTTTTTCAAACATGGTACTTCTGCTGGCTTCCAGTGTTTGTTTTAACATTTATTTGACTGTCTTTACCCCATTCTCCAAGGTCCTAATTTTATGTTAATTTTGAATTGTGGTTCTAAATTATGTTCATAATTTTCTACACCAAGATTTACTACACACTACACTGTTGACATCTTGGGCTGGATAATTCTTTGTTGTGGGGGACATTGCAGATGCCAGTTGTTCCTTCTCCCCCCAAGTTGTGACAACCCAGAACAGCTCCAGACATTGCCAAGTGATCCCTGGAGGGTAAAACCACTCCCACCCCTGCTTGATAAATACTGGCATACGTGAAATTTATTGTAAAGGATTGCTACTGTGCATGTGCATCAATTTAAGTTTTGAATGCATCTGATTGTTGTCTTGGCTTTATTAAATTTTTAAAATCATTTCATATACCAGGATAATACTTTGCTCCTGATACAGTAAATTTATCAGGAAAGAACAAGGAGTGTGTAAGTACTTCCACGTAGTATCAAATCCATAAAGAATCTAACCTGGTAATTTAGTTTCCTATAGTAATTTCTAGGGAGAAGTTATGGTAGGACATTGTTGTCCTGTTTTATGTTAACCTCAGAAGTCAGAAAAGGAGTCTAAGATCTCATAATAAGGTCTATTATAGATTTTTTTTGTACATTAATTTACTTGACTCATTTGAAAGTTTATCATTCCAAAATTTTCAGTATTGAATTCCTAGATAACTTAGGTGGTCTGGAATGAAGAAATATGTAGTTTTTTCCCCCTTTTTCAGAACTCATCTGTGTTAAAATAATTACTTGCTTATGCATTGATTTCTGATATCTTCCTTCATGTAGTACCAGAATTTCCCCATGTTAATTTCATCTTTCTGATTGCCCTGCTGTTTTATGACCTTGAAATTTATTTGCGAAATAGAGCATAGATTTTAGAATATCAGAGGTAAAAGAAGCTTTAGAAATCATATAGTTCATTCTTATCATTTTACAAATTGGGAAACTGGCTTTTTTTTTTTTTTTTTGACATTCGAGGCACACTAATGTTTGTAAATTGTACTGTAATTTCATTCTCATTCAGTAAGAAACTACTTTATGTTTCTCAAATCAGGATAGGTGAATTCCAGGCCCAGGTAGAAACCTCACACAAGGGAACAAGTTTTGTCTTAAAATACCTTCTTCGGTCTGGAAACTGCAGTTCTTTCTAGAACAAAAAAGGACTATGTGTAGTTTCACTAATATGCTTTTACAGGTTTACTTAGTAACTGGGCAAGAATATTTTCCATTGTGCCAGGATGAACACTTTCAATACATAGAGGAATTATTGACAGAAAACTTCATGATGTTGCCAGAAAGTGCCCTTTTGATAAGGAAGCAACTTCCTGAATATAACTGGCTAGAAACTAAAACTATTTTAGCAAAACATTTTATCTTTTCTTATTCAAGGGAGATCGAATGTGGCACTTTGCAGTGTCTGTGTTTCTGGTCGAGCTCTATGGAAACAGCCTCCTCTTGACTGCAGTTTACGGGCTGGTGGTGGCTGGGTCTGTTCTGGTCCTAGGAGCCATCATTGGTGATTGGGTGGATAAGAATGCCAGACTCAAAGGTGAGTGTTGTTATAGCTGTGCCTTTGTATTCATGAGACCAGTGTCTGAGCTCGAGAGAAACCACTATGACTAACCCAATGTGAGCCTGCATGTCACACTTGAGTGATGGGGGACTTGGTGGCAGCACCTCCGTGTGGAGGGTTCTGGGTCTCCCGCACAAGGTTATGATGGCAGGATATTGAACTTGTAGATTTTTTGAGTATCTTCGGCTATTCATAAATTCCAGATGTTAATGATTAACATGTAGCACTTCTCTGGGAACCATGTTAAACGTTGAAAGTTTGCTTAACTCTGGCATCCTTTCTAACCATGACTACACTGGAATCTTTTTAGTGTTAGGTTTCTGGGACAGCTTTAACACCTGATTTCTGGGTTACTGTGTTTCACAGGAGGTGTGTATAGAGGGATTTAGAACTATAGATTCAAGAGAGAATATCTGAGTCTGTTTCACAGAGAGCTTTCTGAGGGAAAAGAAGAAATGATAATATATTAATATTTATTCTAGAACATGAATACTGAAATCTTTCAGTTTTATATAGGGAAGAGAGAAAGTGCCTGAGCAATTCAGTTATTCAGACTAATAGGGCAATGTGGACAATTATTCAGGGCAAAATTTTCCTGAATTGCTCAGTTGATAATTCTAAGACCTGGTCATGTTTGTCTTAGATGTTGGGGAAAGATTGAGATATCCTTACTTTCTTTCAGTGTAGGATGACTGCTCCTGGATAAGAGCACTTGGATTGTCAAATTCTAGGACTTGACGCTCTCCTTAAAATGGTCAAAATGAACATATTTTGTTTTAAGAATGAATAGACCAAAATGTGTATAGAAAAAAAATTTTGTGCCCTAGAAAAAAATTCCTAGTTATTTACATCATTATAGGTAGGAACATAGAAATATTATACCTAGAGACCTTTAACCTTATGATTGTTGAGCACTGAAATTGTAGGTTAGGAAAGAATGTCGAGTTGGATGAAGGAAAGTGTGGTGGACTAGCAGTCTCCCACTTATCTCATGTAATCAACTCATGTGTTACCCACCATGAAAATCTTCTCTGATGTCTCTGGGTTGAGTTAACTATTTCTTCTCTCATCAGGCTTTGTTATACCTCTGCTATTGTACTAATACTCTTATAATTATCAGTTCACATGTCTATCCTTCCTCTGGTCTGTGGGGTCCTGAAAGCTGAGAACCTCATTCAGTTGATATTTAATCCTTGTGTAATGAATGAATGTATCAATGAATGAGTTGTATGTTGGGATTTTATTTCAAAGTAATTTCAGAAAGCAGTTTGTTTTGTCTTGAGGCTTTGATATGACCTTCCAAGCCAGAACAAGTTTTACTGTCCTTCAAGACAAGAGTTGTAATTATACCTTACATATACAACTCAGTGTTTTTCAAAGTGCCTTAATATTAATAAGTATTTTATTTGAGCATCATAATGACTCTGTAAAGTAAGGAAGGCAGGTATGTGCTGGCATCCTCACCTTATAGACACAGGTGTAAGAGACATTAGGTATCTTGCCCTAGATTGTCTACCCTAGTAAGAGGCAGAGAAAAGACTACAAGGTGTCTTTACCCGTATACTTACTTACCTGTTCTTATTCTAGTACTTTATCTATATGAGTGCCTCACTCTAAGAAAATCGGCATTTCCTATGAAAAAAGGTGTAGCTTAGAATTTCATAACAATAGCAAATAGTATTAGTATGCCAAAATAAACATACTGCTGCTTTATTCTTGACAAATTTTATATGTTTTTTCTATTTATCCATACACTCTTATCAGATTCAGCCTGCCACGTGGGAGGTTATGGATTCTGTGACTTCTTCTTTACCCTCTTCCATCGCCTTCTACATGTTCTTATTTTAGCTTAAGCAACAAAGAGCTGAGAGATGGATCTTGTCTATGTGATATAGTTCTGTTTATGATAGTAAACTTTCATGAGGATAAACTAAATGAAAATGTGATCATTATGAATGGCTTCATCTAACAGAGGAAAAAATGATGGGTACTTCATCATTCTGTCTGCAAGTTTTACTGGTCGGGTGTGATATGCTAGGTTGTCCTGGGAATAGTTGAGGCAGGATTTACTTCAGGATTTTTTTTAATTTCTTGTAGTAATTTGCATATGCATTAATGTTGTAGAACAATGATGTATGAATAAAAAGAGCCCCATTGAGACATTTTGGTGTGGTGTGTAGTGAACACTTTGTTTTTCCTTCTGTACAGTGGCCCAGACTTCGCTGGTGATACAGAATGTTTCAGTCATCCTATGTGGAATCATCCTGATGATGGTTTTCTTATATAAAAACGAGCTTCTGACCATGTACCATGGATGGATGCTTGTAAGTTCTCGGCGAGATTCTTGATTGCAGAGAATTGAACATCTGGTAGTAGTAAAAGATGAAACCTCTTTGAGGCTAGGGATTATCTTTTGCAAATGGAACTTTTTAATACTGATCTCTGTGTCTACTGTTTCCTAAGTTTTTTGTTTTGTTTTGTTTTTGTTTTCTCTCATAACAGGCACTCATTAAGTATTATTTGAATTTAAATTTTGTCCAAGAGTTTATTATAAAAATTCAAGTTGTTAGTTTTCAGCTTATTAGTATTAATTTGTAATTTGTTCACACTATATATGAAATGTTATCCATGTATATATTAATCAATCACGATTGTATTCTTCCAATGATAATTGGTGTTTCTTTTCATGGACATGGACTGATAGCTTCTCATACTTTGATTTCATGATAGGTTAATGGAAAAGAGAGAGATGGGGGTATGGTAGAAAACAATGGATTTGATGTTACTATTGAATCTTCCTATGTATATTTGGATTGGTATTGTAGAGTTTTGAAGCCAGGTAGGATGGTAGAAATCTTCTAGTCTATTCCTTTATTTTGTTGATGAAAAAAACTAAGACAAGTGAGGTTAGCTGATTGCCCATCATCATGCAACTAGAAAGTATCAGAACTCTCACTTAAATACAGGTCTTCTCACTTCCCTGTAATGTTTTTCCAAAAGAAATATTTGTGGGAAGAATATTAAAAACCACCCTTATGTTAATAGTTTGTGATACCTGTCACATAAATTTGCACTTGACTTACAGTTTTTATATTATATGTTCTACAGATGATATGGATTAGGAAGATATGCCCTTTAACTTGACCACTGACATTTATTGTTTCATATGTACAAAGTAAAATGATTGCTTATAAATGAAATTAAAGTCAAAGTTTGGTTATTATGCCACCAAAGACCACATGAAAGTACTTTGCAAAGGGAGGTGTACGCATAGTATGGAAAAACTGACATTTTAACTCAATTTTCCCCTGTAATTCCTTAGACTTTCTGCTATATCTTGATCATCACTATTGCAAATATTGCAAATTTGGCCAGTACTGCTACTGCAATCACCATCCAAAGGGACTGGATTGTTGTTGTTGCCGGAGAAGACAGAAGCAAATTAGCAGGTAATTTGTGTTCGACTAAATGAGTTATATTAGGATTCACTTTAAATCAATGGTAATAAATGAAACTATAAACCTTTTTTTCCTGGGTATTTTTTAAGAACAATAAATCGAAATCACAGTCTTTTTTTTTTTTTTTTAAACTACGTGATCAGTCTTAGTGCAAAGATTTATCTCAGAGCTATGAAGTTAGTTTATAGGATAGTGAACTTCTCTATTATTCTGTGCAAACCTGCCAAATGAAAGAACATTTCTTTTGATCTTTCTTTCTTTAAAAAAATTCTGTTAACTGTTTCTAAGTGTTTGCTTTATATTTAGAACAGTGAAAATTTGACATAGGATATTATTATCAGTACTTACCAGTCTTACTGTGGATATTATTTTTCTCCAAACCAAATGGAAACAATGTAATTTTTGGAGAGATTTTATAAGTTAATTTTTTCTACTTTAAAGTTATAATCTATAACTTCTATTATATTATGTATGAGGTAATATAATTGCTGTTATAAATACTAAAGAAATAGAGGACAAAATACAGTTTTTAAGAAACTTATAATCTTAGTTATTCATTGGAAACATATATAAGAGGCTGAAGAATGCTTACAAAGCATCACATCCTATTACATCAATATTACTTGGGCTCAGAATAACTTACCTCACTCAATATCTTTTACCTACCCATCATACAACACACAGACACAAATTGGATTGATAATTACACAGAGTAAAGGAGGAAGGGTACAACTATCTACTGATCAGATAAGCTGAATCAACTCTGCTGGTCATTGAGGTAATGAGTATCACAGACACATTGCCCAGCCATCCTGACTGATAAGAAAAGCATTCCTGATAACTTAAATCGCTTATTCCAAGACACAAAAGGCAAGATTAGGTGCTGAGGTTAGCAAGCAACTTTGGACCATGCGATTTAAAAAAAGACAGAAAGGAATTGGTGAGAGAAGGAGCAAAATCTGTGGAAGGTCCAGAAGACGAAAAAGAAGAATTTGCTTAAATCATCACTTTGTGGTAGCAGCATTGTACTTAGGTAGTAATGCCACAGTAATTTTAGAGGATGGTGCGTGTATGGGATGAATTTAGCACATATATATCTATACTGCAGGAAACTCTCTCTGGAGCTAAAGTGATGATATTCATTGATTTTTCTTTTACTGATAGGAAATCCATATTTCTTTTTGTCACATTGAACTGTAAGATAAGATTTTGTCCTTTTTTGTGTTTTTTTTTTGTTTGTTTATGTTATCTTTTTAATGTATGCTTTTAGGTAGGTAATACATATTTTAAAATTCAAAGAGTCTAAAAGGATATGTTTTGAACATAGATTATATATATATTTGTTGGACTATATTTGGGGGGGGAAAGTGACTTTTAAAATAATCTTCTTTCCCTTTGCTGTATTTCTTAACTCATTTCGACTCTGTGAAGTCTGAATAGTCTGTAAAAAAATCCTGAGTACAAAGTTACTCAGAATTTTTCATTTTTCTTAAATTAATAAATAAAACAAAGACTCCACATAACCTTGTGAGATCTTTTCTGACTATGAAGTAATGTCCCAGAACAAAAACAAATATATACTGGCCATTTCTCAGCTATCTTTCTTTATATTAGAAATCATTGCAGAGTGAAAGAATCTAGGCCAAATAGTCTATTTTCTAACCTTCTGGAGTTTCTCAAGTTTAAGAAAGGAAGTACGCTGCCTGTCGAACTCCTGTCCTCTGTGAGTTAGCTTTTAGTATGTGGTACTTTTTCATATCCAGCCCGCAGTGCGGGTTAGTAGCCAGTAAAGGAAAAATCCCCATGTTATGTTTACTCAAGTTTTTACCCCAGTAATTGCGTAATTAGAAACCATGGTTCCAAATAGGATACAAAAACTTCTTTAGTTCTGAGGGTCAGCAAGGGTCTAACCATGGATTTTGGGTACCATTTCTGCTATAAAGCAGAGTTAAAGAACAAAGAAAAAGGAACAGAGGAGAGAAGGGGAGACGTACACATAGAGAGGATTCCAGGTTCCTCTGAGGTTGTGTCTCTAGACACAGCGGCACCTACTGCAGGAAGAAATAATTTATGTTAATCAGGCTGATTTTTGAGGTTGTCGGCAAAGACTTAGGAACCCAAGCAGGGGTCTGGGCAGGGACAACTAAACCCGTGTGCATTGTGGGTGCTTTGTGTGCTGCGTGCATGTGTAAAGGAGTCGAAGGGGAAGGGATGTACACATAAAGAGCAAAGGCGAACTGGATGCAAATTGCTCCCATTTTCTTATCCCAGTGTTTCTTAATTTCACAGTAGATTTTAAAGTTGGAAGTTTTTTCACTGAGGCTAAAGAACAGGAGAAAATTTCTCTGTTAGTTTAAAAAGTTTTAGAATTTCAGGGGTATCAGGCTAAAATATATGTGTTCCCATCTACTTTAGACAGCTCCAGAAAAGGTTTTGTTTTCATATAAATACTGTTAATTAATCTGTTAACTAATTTGTCTAGGCACTTGATTTAGAGTTTTATTGAAACATTCTCTGGTGCCATGTCCCTTCGCCTGTCAACCCTGTTTGAACTCACTTCCTATTCCCAGACTTTTTACTCCATCTGTTGTTTTATTTCCTTTCCTATTTCCTTTGTTAAACACTCTTTATTAATGGCCTCTGAGATTTTTCTTGTCCACCATTCTAAAAAAACATCTGGTTAGCTTGACCAAGTATGGCTGGTAAATTTTTTGTTTGAAGTCTATTGACTAAAAATTGATTTCATATTTGAGGTACACAAAACTGCTGGCTGCTATTTACTCAGCAAATCTGCTTTTAAAAATTGTTATTCTATGAGATGTAATACCCTTTATAATAGCAGTTAGTTTTTTAATATCATGTTCTTTGCCACAGCTATAGATGAAAACAGTTAAAATGGGTTTTAAATGAGCATGCATTTGTCTGTTTGCATAAGAATAAATATAAATTTGTAGAAAGGATATGTTTGCATATTCAGAGGACTGATTCTTATCAAGCCTTTTACCAGTAAAATGATTAGGTCTTTTTCAAAAACTATTATTTAATTCATTCTGCTTCAGAAAAATAAAAGCTGTCTTCTGACAGTATATCACATCTAAACATTATTTAGTTCTTAAGTATGATATAAAAAATAGAAATTGGTGGCATTAGGAAGATTCATGAGCACTTGAAAATTGAGGTAGTGAAAGAGTAACAAAATCATTGTAAATAAATTAATTTAGTAGTTGTTCTGGAGTTTCCAGATCCAAATGTGTATTTTCATTAGTACTTGATTTTTGGATTCAAATTATTGAGTTTTTTGGATCAATTCCATATTTCTGTGTTAGCATATGAATTGGAAATTTATCAGTGTGTGTATGTGTTGGGGGGGACACGTGGAGTTTAGTGAAGCCTCTGCAAAAATGTTCATGTATAAGATCAATGAAAACTGCCTTTGCCTCTCAAGTGAAAGGTGAAATGTGTCAAAGTTCTCCCGTTATCACATAAGGATTATACATTCGGAGGACTAATTGGCAGATAGTTTAGGACCAGGAAGAACTAGAGAAGGAAGAAAGGCAACTTTCTGTTAATGTACTTTTAGTCACGTATTGCTTTTTCCTTAAGGAGCCCCCTGCATGATTGGCAAGGACTTGTCTCATTAATTTCACTCTGTGAGATAGAGAATGAGACAGCAGCTAATTTCCTTGACTTCTTTTTCTTTATTTATCTTGTCTTCTACTCTGACTCAGCTATATATGCCCATGGTCATACCCTAGACCTTGTCATCATCACTCAGTCCTCCCCTTCCATAATCTCAATCTGAGGGATTCGTGTCTTGAACTACCATCTCCTGTCTTTTCAGCTCATTCCTTCTGATACCCCACTTCCTAGCAGTCCTCCAACCTGGTTGTTCCTATGAGTCATTAATTCCACTACCTTTTCACTGTTCATGACCCCTCTTGTCTCTTTCTTACCCTGTTTAAGTTCCAAGGTCAATCATTCTGACCATGTGATTGATTGCCTCATAGCATATATCCTCAGCTCACTCGGTCCCCTCTCCTTTTGTCACTTTCCTTTTATAAAACTCTGGTTAAATCCTACACGGCTAGAGAAAAACACACAAACTTGTTTACTGTTCTCACTTAAAGTTCATGACCACCGTGTTCAAATTGGCCCTTTCATGCTGCCAGATGATCATACTGTTTCTCTGGTCATTTCTTTTTCTCACGTTCCTAAATGACTACTTCATACCTTCTCCTTTCTCTGTACATATTCAGTACCTCCACTCCCATCCTCAGTTTCACTGATGAACTTGCTGTGTTTTTTACTGAGTAAAAGAAAGAAAGAAGAAGAGAACTTCCTATGTGCTGCTACCATCACATTGCTCTTTCTACATGTACTTGAAGCCATATACTTAAAGCTGTGTATATGGCCTACCTTCTTGTTGCTGTCGAATAATTGTGCTCCTATGTAAGAATAACTCTTCCTCTTATGTAGTAGCTTTAGATTCCACCCCTTCTCATCTACTGTATCATTCTCATTCCCAAATATGTTATAATTTTGCTCTTCTTAAATATCCTTGTCTTTACCCCTTTACCACCCCATTTCTTTTTTCTCTTTTTCAGTGAAACTTAAGAAAGAGAGATGTCTATGCTCACTCTTTTCAATCACTTTCCTTGGCACCAGTCTCTTAAAGCAACTTGATTCAGGCATTTGCCCTTTTTGTTCTACCAAAACTACTCTTTTTGAGATCCCCAATACCTTCCATCTGACCACCTTAGAGCTTCTCAGTGCTCATCTTTCTTGACTTATCAGCAGCACTTGCCAGTTATTACTTCCTCCTCTTTAACATACTATGTTGCTTCTAGGACACCACACCCTCTGTTTTTTTGCCTCTTTGGTTATTTTCTTCTCATCTTCCTGACCTGTAAACACCGGCATACCCAGGACTCAATTCTCAGACCTTGTCTCTGCTCAGTCTGCACTAACTCCTTTGGTGACCTCATCCAGTCTCATTGCTTTAAAAATCAACCAGCTGATGGCTCCCAAATCCAATGCATAGTTCTTCCCTAAACTACAGACTTATCCGAATGCTTGACACAGCCTCTTGAATGTCAGTAGGCCTGTCAAGGTCAAAATCCCTAGATCCAAATGCTTGTTCTTTTGCCCCAAACCCAATTCTTCTGAAGTCTTCTTTTTTCAGTAAGTGGCAACTCTATCCTTCCAATAGCTGCTCAGGAAAAAAGCTTTAGTGTCATCCCTAATCCTCCCTTTCTCTCATATACTGTATCTAATCTGTTTGTAAGTCTTCCAGATTTTATCTTTAAAGTGTGTTCAGTATCTTTTTTCTCCATTTCCATTGGTTATGGTCATGCTACTATCATCTCCCACTTGTCTCCTTGCCTCTACTCTTGTCTGTGACATCCCTCACCCTCACTCTACAGTCTATTCTCAATACAGTAGCTAAAACGAACCTTTAATAATATAAGTCAGACTGTGTCATCTTTCAATTCATAAGCTTCTAAAGATTTCCTGACTCATTCACTGTAAAGTTAAGTCCATATAATGTTCACAAGACCTTAAATGACTGGCCTAGTCTGCCATCCCTTTCTGACTTCATCTCTTCCTGTCTCTTCCTTTACTTGCTCTGCTCCAGTCCTACTGGCCTCCTTTCTCTTCTTCTAGCACTCTAGGCATGCTTCTCTTGCCCAGGACTTTTGCACTTCCCTTGGTCTGGAATTCTCATTTCACTTATACCATGGGACTCACTCTTTTGCCTCCTACCACTTCATGTCTTTTCTGTGGCGCTATCTTTACTTCACTGAGTTCTTTCCTTACCTCAGCATATTTAAAATAGAAATTTCTCTTTTCCCCTGAGCACTCTCTATGCCCTTTTTCTGCTTTATTTTCATCATAATATTTAATAAACATTTGACATGCTGTATATTTATATGCTTGTCGATTTACTATCTTTATTTTCCCATGGGAATGTTAACTCCATGAAGACAGGAAAGGATATTCTTCATTTTCTTTATATTGACAGAATGGTGCCTAGCTCATAATAGGTATTTAACAACTTTTTGTTGAAACAAATAAATGTATTTTCACGATTATATTCATTTTATGAGCTGATATTAGGCTAATTTATAAAGTCCCAAGGGAATCAAATTTTTTAGGCAAATTTAGTATGATTTGACCCAAACAACAAATAATTTTCTAAGAAAATGGTTATGGCTTGCTCATAGAGTACTTTTTAGAAATTTACATTTTAGGAGTCTACACACTTGGTCAGTTAGTTTGTATTATATTAATGGGCAGTCTTTCTTTGATAGGTTTGCATACTTACCGCATCTTTCACTTACCTCTGTAGATATGAATGCTACAATACGAAGGATTGACCAATTAACCAACATCTTGGCCCCCATGGCTGTCGGCCAGATTATGACATTTGGCTCTGCAGTCATTGGGTGTGGTTTCATTTCGGGATGGAATTTGGTGTCCATGTGTATAGAGTACTTTCTGCTCTGGAAGGTTTACCAGAAAACCCCTGCTCTAGCTGTGAAAGCTGCTCTTAAAGTAGAGGAAGCTGAGTTGAAACAGCTGAATCTATACAAAGGTAAACTTAATGCAATGATCAGTCATTTTATTCTGTTATTCAGACCTTAAATGTTGGTGAAGACCAAAACTATTTTGAATTTATATCAGATTTTATTACCTCTGAAGTCATATATGAGGTTAAATAAGTCACTCCAGCAGGTAAGTCAAAACCCAGGCTATCGAGGGTCTAAGGAAGAATGCCTGGTTGAATCTCATGGAGTTGGAATGGAACCCATGGCCCTTTCCTTGACATGAGCAGTGGACCCAGAGTGGCAATTAATTAAGGGATGGTTGGGCAAGGTTGAGCCATAGGAATCGGAAGAAAAATGAGAACAAGCGAATTCCTAGGGGTCTGTGAAGAGGGAAGTTACATGCCATCAGAGGTGATTTGTAGGATAGTGGAAGGGAGTGAGGACGTGGAAGTGGGCATTTCCCAGGAAGAGGAAGATGGACTTCTAGGCAAATGGAATCTTAATGGGGCCCCAGAAAATAAGATGTTTTGTTTTCCCATGCAATTATTATATATTTATCTGATGAGTTTTACTTTGGTAGGAGTGTAATTGGGGGAGGGGGGCAGGTAGCGAAAAGGGTGGAGTGGGGGAGGGAGAGAGGGCACATGAGCAATTGAGATCAATAATATTTTGTTTACTTAACCTAATTGTTATCTGGAGATTGTTCTTTGGCTGGAATTATTAGATTAGTAAAAGGAATAATATCGTATTGGAGGAATTATATTGTATTAGTAAAAGGTATTATATTGTAGTAGCTAAGTGTACCCACAGGGGATGGAAAGAGGAAAAGAAAAAATTCTGAGTAAAATATTTGGCTTTTTTCCCCATATCCCCTCCCCCAAATAATAATGTTTTCTGTTAACAGAAAATGAGCCAAAATCCCCAGAGGCAACTCATCTAATGGGTGAGAAAGACGCTAACATCCACGAGCTTGAACAGGAGCAAGAGCCAGGCTGTGCCTCCCAAATGGCTGAGCCCTTCCGCACCTTCCGAGACGGATGGGTCTCCTATTACAACCAGCCTGTGTTCCTGGCAGGCATGGGTCTCGCTTTCCTCTATATGACTGTCCTGGGCTTTGATTGCATCACCACAGGGTACGCCTACACTCAGGGTCTGAGTGGGTCCATCCTCAGTATTTTGATGGGAGCATCAGCTGTAACTGGAATAATGGGAACTGTGGCTTTTACTTGGCTACGTCGAAAATGTGGCCTGGTTCGGGCTGGTCTGATCTCAGGATTTGCACAGCTGTCCTGTTTGATCTTGTGTGTGATCTCCGTGTTCATGCCTGGAAGCCCCTTGGACTTGTCTGTTTCTCCTTTTAAAGATATCCATTCCAGGTTCATTCAAGCCGAGCCACTGCCCACAAATACATCTACAAAAATATCTGAAATCATCTTTCCAAATGAAATGCACATGTCAAACGGGTCTGATTCTACTAATATTGCCCTAGAGATGGATGCTAACTCTGAGTCCATAATCTCTGTCAGTCTGCTGTTTGCAGGCGTCATTGCTGCTAGAATTGGTAAGACATCTCCTTTTGTGTACTAATGAATTAAAAGTATCTTTTTGCAATGTGGGTTCAGAGAATTCAACAATAAATTATCTGGAATATTCTTTGAATGTTAATTTAAGCAAAATCCACTATTGATCCTTATGTATAATCCAGTTCTTTATTATGAAATTTTTATTTTGTAGTTTAAAAAACTATAAGTATGTGTATATGTACATATACTTTCATAAAACATGATTAGGACTTGATAAGTTTTTCTAAATGCATATTTTAAGAATTACTCTTTTAATGTTAATTAATTTAAAAAGATATTAGCTATAATAATTATAATGCCATTTAGTAACTTAGTCTTTGTATTGCTATAACTACTAAAAAGACTATAATTTAGAGAATATTTCTATGGGGCAAGGTGAAAAAGATAGTGTTTTTGGTTTAAATTTTTTTTAAAAAGACATGGTAGCTAGAAAAAATATCTTTCAAAGGTCTTCTCTAGCCGATGTGTATTTATTATATACTTTGCCAAACAAGTGGATTTTATAGCCCTGGAAGGAAACAAAACGTAAAGACTTCTTACAAAGCAAATTTTAAGTAATCATTAATAGAGTACTGATGAATTATCTCCTCCTGAATCACTCTTGAAATGAAACCATATTTGTCTTGTGATACAAAGCAGTTTATTAATTTATCAAAGACATTATTATTCAAGTAAGACAGTTTTATTGTAAAGGCTTTAGAACCCAAGCAGTAAATGTAATAATGGTTTAAAGTTTCCTTACACTTTAGCCATAACAATATATTAAGTCCATTCATTTTAAACTTTAAAAATACTAGTACAGTCATGCGCTGGCTTAACAATGGGGATACATTCTGAGAAAATATGTCATTAGGTGGTTTTGTTGGACGAACATTGTTGAGTGCACTTACACAAATGTAGATGGTACGGCCTATTACACACCCTATTACACATCTGCCCTCTATGGTACGGCCTGTGGCTCCTGGGCTACAAGCCTGTAGAGCGTGTTACTATACAAAACAACACGAGGTTAAATCAAGCACAAGAGAAGATTCAATTGCAGTGATAAACAGGAGATGTATGAGGCCACTGCTGGCATAACGCAGCATACTGCTTTACAGCAAACTTTTTATTGTGGAAGTAGAGGACACTCTAAAATAACCATAAAAATATGTTATAATAAGTACATAAACCAGTAACATGGTCATTTATCATTATCAAGTATAATGTGTACCGTACATAATTGTGTGCTATATTTTATATATCTGGCAGTGCAGTAGGTTTTTGCACACCAGCATCACCACAGATACATAACACATTGTGCTACCATGGTTATAATGTCACTAGGTGATAGGAATTTTTCAACTCCATTATAATCTTATGGGACTGCCATTGTATGTGTGGTTCGTCAGTGACCAAAACATTGTTATGTGGCACTTGACTGTACTTATAATAGGATTATTGTCTCTAATTTCAGTTTTGCTTTAAATGTATGAATTATCACAGAAAAACAGCATTAAGAAGTTTGTAGATTAGACTTATTTTTGTCTGGTAGCTGTAAAAATCATTTCTTAGAGCCACTACTAACCCAGTATTTATTAATGAAAAATAATTCTCTAAGGCAAGGCTATGTTAAATATACATATGATGACTTTAAAGTAATAGGGCTAAACTGTGTATTTTGCACATGTCAACAGATTTTTTAACTGATAAATCTGAAACATATGGCTATAAATTTTAGAGTTTGGGTAGCTCTAAAAAACACCTTTTTTTAAAAATTTTTTTTTTTTTATAGGTCTTTGGTCCTTTGATTTAACTGTGACACAGTTGCTGCAAGAAAATGTAATTGAATCTGAAAGAGGCATTATAAATGGTGTACAGAACTCCATGAACTATCTTCTTGACCTACTACATTTCATCATGGTCATCCTGGCTCCAAATCCTGAAGCTTTTGGCTTGCTCGTATTGATTTCAGTCTCCTTTGTGGCAATGGGTCACATTATGTATTTTCGATTTGCCCAGAAAAGTTTGGGCAACAAACTTTTTGTCTGTGGTCCTGATGAAGAAGATGTTACGAATGAAAATCAAACTAATACATCTGTTGTATAAGACAGTTAACTGTTTGCTATCCCTGTTACTAAATTATATAGCGCACATGTGCTTATTTTATACTTCAGAATTCCAATAAATGGCTGGTGTTTCCCTCTGGTTTTACCACAAATATACCTTGAAGTCCTAAAGCTATTTAGGAAACCTAAGTCAGCAGAAATGAGTTGGTAATTTCCCTTACATTTGATGGAAAAAAAAAATAGGAAAAGAAAAAAATTTTAAATATGGAGACTAAAATGGCAACACTGATTTTCCCCATTTCTCATGAGTAGATAAAATTTTATATAAGAGTGGTTAGCCATGTGAATTAAGTTATTCTTTGGCAGATATTATCTGTACTCGAATTCAGATATATCAGTTTTCCCTAAAACTCAGTCTTGTCCAAGTCTAGTTAATTTACTTTTTCTTTGGTATTTTATTCTGTTATATTATAAGAACAAATTCTACTCCACATACAAAGATTAAAGTTTAATAAGTTTTATTCTTATTGATCCTATTGATCTTAAAGGATTTACATATATGTGGAAAAAAATTCACTAGTATTCTCTAATAAGGTCTATGGTTTAACTTTAGAGAGCACCTTCATATTTTTATCAGATAGGGCAAAATATTCTATTAAGCAAATGTAGCACTTTGTAAAATGGCTGTCAGGTAAGCTGCAGGTAGAAGCAAAGCTGTAAAGTAGATTTATAACAGTGAATGCATAAGAACTTCAAATATGCCAGTAGTTTGGCCATAGAAAGTAGAAATTGAAAGTCCCAAAGAAGAGCAAGATCTGAATTTAACTCCCATCACTCTCATTAATGATCTCTATCTTGGAATATGAGGGAGTCAGCTTTCTGCCTGGCAGGTTAAAAGTAGAAAGCAAGCCCACACTTGGAAAGGTTCTGTTTCGTCAATCACTTGATTTACTTTGAACATGCTAGGGTAAAGCATTTTTACTTTACTGTTTTGTACCCTGGAGTTATTTTTACCTGGTCATATAGCAAGACTGTTCATAACTGTATCCCTTTTAAATGTTTTTGAGAAGAATGGAGGAAAGGAAAACTTTTGTATATATTTTAAATAACTGTTTTACAAGTCATTTTGCCTTAACCGTTTATGCACTTTCATGGAGACTGCAATACGTTGCTATGAGCACTTTCTTTATTCTTGAGGTTAATCTTTTTCTTCTTTCTATGACATGACGTGATGATTTGCTTTGTTGTAAAATCTTTGTAAAATATTTCTATATAAAAATATTTTTAAAATCTTGATTTCTTTTTCCTGAATTGCATTCTCCAGTTTTTAAAAATCGCTTTTGTTACAAATCATCTGTTTTAGATAATGTATTTTTTCTCTATAAAGGGTTAGAGTTTATTCATAAATTTAGTGTTACCTCCTTGTTCATATATCTAGTTTATGGTGGTTTGGGTACAATTGTAGTAAACATAAGGCCTACTACTCTTTATTTGTCTTTGAAGAAGTCAAATTAAGCTCTCCAAGTTCTATTTTCTCTTCTGTAAATTAGAGATGATGGTATAAAATCACTCTACCTACCTCACAGCTTTCCTGATTGACTCAAATAATTCATGTGGAAGCACTTTGTGGACTGGATGGCGAGATACTATTATATCACTAGAAATTGAACCTAACTAATGACAGTTAAAGATAGATTACTGCTGATAGTCCAGAGAGAGTAGAGCCACATTCTATATTCAGCAAACATTTACTGATCTTTGTCCCAAATTGAATGACCCTGGGATGCAGATATGACTCAGACATGGTTGACCAGAGAAGCCTTTTCTTTCCCCTGAAATCGGAAGCTGGAAGACTTTGGCATCACCCTGAAGCTGCTGGTCTGCTCATGACTTTTGAACGGACAGAAATGCCTCTGTTAGGTTCAGCTACTGTCATGAACAGGTTATTCACTCTCCCACAGAGGTCGAGCCGGGATTGGAGATCTGCCCTGAGTGTTTGCAGCTGTAACCGAGGGCCCATGACCTTGTAAAATGAATAGAACCATATTAGCAAAGGAAAGTCTCAGCTCTTCATATGGGCATTTTGCCAGACTGAAGGCTTAGAGAGAGGCCTTGTGTAGGAGGAAGGAACATGAAGTTGGAGAGTCAAAAGGAACTTTTACAGCTGCCTCCCTTATCTTTGCAAAGTACTGTTCAGAGCAGGAAGAGGAGGAAAGTGGAGGAGAATCTACTGGCCCGGACAACCTTTGCTGTTTATTGCCGGGGGCAAAGAAGTAGGGCAGGGGTCGGTCGATCGTGATCTGGGTATCTGGGTGTTTCTAAATGGGGAGACAAACTCAAATACTTACGGGGTCAATTACGTAATACAAACGAGTGAAAGAGATTAGATATAGGAAAACAGTCTTTAATATGTAATTACATTCTACAAAAGTATCACATTTAAGTATGTTTCCACTTAAAAACAGATTCATTACAATTTTTTCATGCTTTTCTCTATTCCATGTAGGCTTCTTGTAATTATTAAGCTCTTTCAATATAGATATCCTTTGTTTGCATATTAAACACAGGGAAGCTATATTCATTTCCGTAAACAAATATGTCTATTCCCATTTTTTTCCTTGAAACATCTGGCTTGCTTGATATTCCCTTTATTAAACACTCCCTCCCCTTAAAAACAGATAAAAATAAAAGAAATTACTTTCCTATTTACCATAAGACAAAAAGCAATGCCAGAGGTGTACTAAATGGAGCATGGCACTGGAAGTGCTTTTGGGAGGTGACAGAATGTGGTCAGGGATATGGTAAACTGAAGAGCAGGCACCATGCTAAAAGGGCAGCTGTCAGCAAGTCCAGCTGCCACTCAGGAATGTGGGCCCTGTGTTGTCATAAACTTTGATCTTTTAAAAGAAGCTGGGAATCTGGAGTTTTATGTTAAATATCCAAATTCTTAAATGCTGGCAACTAATTTGAAAATTCCTTTCTAGCAAAATAAAAATACATCTGTGGGCTATCAGTGAGTCACCCATGGGCTGCCGGTTTTTGAGCTTTTCTCTAAGAGGATGGATTATGAACAAGAGAATGGTATTTGAATAAAGTGTAGGAGGAAAGGAAGTATATATATGAAACTTGTGGAATACCGAGAACAAGAAAGAACTGAGCAAACATATTTGTGGTGAAAAATGTTAAGCTATTATGTGTCTTTTATCTTGGAGACCATTTAAGATCAAATACTCTATGCATTTATTACTTGCCATATTGATGCCTCTGAGAATTCTGCCCCATCATTCCTTATCGGTGTTGTTTGCACCAATGGGTTAAAAGATATGATTATTTAGTTAAAAAAAAAAACTTTTAAAGATTGTTTGAATTATAAACATAGTGTGCTCCTGTTTAAAAAAAAAAAAAAGACAGAATTTTAAATTATCCAAATCCCTTCTTCCTGTCCCTTCTTCCTGAATCCTCAGAAATACCCACTATGAACAATTTAGTGTATCTTTACAGATAATTTCTTTTAAATTAAGTTTTTTAGTTAAATTTATAGGGGGCGACATTGGTTAATAAAATTATATAGGATAAAAGTATACTAAATGAGGTTTTAAAAAATAACTTCACACCCTCATTTGGTTTGTTCACCAAGATTATATTAACATCTATACCTGTTGACTGATCAACCAATTCACATCTTTTCCGAACATTCTGAGGGTTACAAGTCATCTTTGCATTAAGACTCTTGATACAGTAATTAAAAAATTTAAAGACATAGAACAGAGTAATTAAAAACGTTAAAAACATAGAAGTAGGTATATAAATTACCTAATCTAATGTATTTATTATGATTGCGAAATATACCTAGTCTGAGATTGCTTTCCGCCAAAACAAAAGACAATTGAGTTTTACCTTTTTCCTCCCAAATGACACTTACTTGAAACTTTATTACTTTAGTTAAACACTGCTTCTTCTTTTATAATGTCTCTTTTCTTCTCTTGATCCACTTTTCAGAAAAATCTTTGCTGTCAGAACGTTTTTGTTTTATAAGATAGCAATTTAAGAATAGCGTGGAAATATTAGAAGAACTTGTGACAACACGTGTGCGTTTATCACAAACAAGTCTGAACTGGCTGCATTTAGTCACACTTTAAAAGTTAAATGACTTTTTCCTTATATAGATACTTGTTTACATTTTCCAAGTCCAAAAGGGAGCAAATATTTTATCTAAAGAATGAACAAAGAAGAGCTCAAAGTACAAGTAAGTACTTTTTTTCCTTGTCCGTCACCCTGGCCTCTATGTGAGTTAGTATATGTTTTTGTGTTTGAACATTTTTCTTATTGCATTTTATTGGGAGAAAAGTGCACTGCAAAGTTTCTGAAATAGTTATGTTCAAAATTGTCTTAGAGAGTAGTTTCCTTAACTCAGGTATAATAATACAAAAGTTAATCTAATTAAATAGATTGAAGATGTAAGAGGACAAATATGTCTTATAGTAACTAAAACACCTCGGTGGAAATAGATGTTTAAAAGAACTCATTTTCAAAGAACTTACAAAAAATAATCTCTAACAAGCAGGACATAGTCACATAGTAAATCGTACCTAAAGTAATATTTTAGCTTAATGTACTTAATGTATATATATTCTAGAAAGAATGGTGGTCTAATGATAGATTTAATTTTTATTTAGTACAACATGTTGACTAAATAAATACATATCTTCTTACCTATTGATTGTAAGGTATTTACGTAAAAGACACTACAGCGGAAAGGCACTAACATTTTAAATATCTGTTATTTCTCAGCCCTTTATTCATTTAATTTTCACCATAACTCAGTGAAAAAGAAATTATCTGTGTTTTATAGATGAGAATACTGAGTTTTAGAATAAGTACCATATGCTTACACAGCTAGTAAGTGGCAGACAGAATCTAAAACCGTTTCTATCTCCAAAGGCTATCCTCTTTCCTCCATACCACACAACCCCAGCATGAGCTTTTTCTAATGGGCAATTTCAGAGAATCCTTAGTGTCCTTAAAAGTCTATCTGTTTATAGCAAACACTTTAATTTACACACAGAAATGAGTATATCTTTATTAACTGATTCATTGAATATGGTATTTCCAAGGAGCTAAAGTTTTTTCAATATTGATAGATGTCACAAGTTTTAAACATCTTGCTTGGTCCTTGAGCACTACTTACAATGCTCTGGGGCTTCCCTAATACCTATATCAGGTGAAATAGGGAATGGTTAGGAGCGGCAGAAATACCTGGGTTCAAGTGTTAGTCTTGGCAATTACCAGCCTCTATGAGCTCTCAGGCAAATTGTTTAATTTCTGTGAACTTCTGTTCTTCATTTGCACAGTGGGAATATTACCTATCTCATAGAGGATTAGCACTCTTATTAGCCTCCAATAAAGTGTTTCTTAAATCCATATAAGGAAGAATTGAGAATATTCTTTGTTTCAACATAATTCACTGTTAACTTTAATTATTCTTATGTAAATGTGTCATGTTAGATAAACTAGTCAGTTAAATTTATCGATTAATTTTACCTTTTTTTTTTTCTTCAAATAGACGTATTCACTTAGACAGTGGAAGTCAACAAAGAGACTTGTCTAGAAAAAATAAACACTGAATTAAGTTTAGTTTCAGTTCTTTGGAAAACATATAGCTGAGATTTCTATTGTGGGCATTATAAAGAACTTCTATGAAAAGAAAAAGGGAAATTCTCATCACCGTTTTTAATTCTAATATCATTTCCTAGACTTCTAGGTCCTTATCTGTAAAAG